AGAATAGAATAGAATAGAATAAGAAAGGAATAGAATAGAATAGAATAAGACAGGAATAGAATAGAATAGAATAGAATAGAATAGAATAGAATAGAATAGAATAGAATAAGGATAGGAATAGAATAATCTTGGAGGTCATCTAGTCCAGCCCCTTGTTCAAGCTGGAGAACCTATACCATCTCAAACTGGTAACTGTCTAGAATCTAGACTCTTCTTAAAAACCTCCAGTGATGCGAGCACCCATGATTTCTGGAGGCAAGTTGTTCCACTGGTTAATTGTCCTCACTGTTAGGAAGTCTCTCCTTAGTTCTAAGTTGCTTCTCTCCTGGATTAGTTTCCATCCACTGTTTCTTGTCCTGCCCTCTCTGGTGCTTTGGAAAATAAGTTGACCCCCCCTTTCTTTATGACAGTCCCTCGAAGAGGGGAGGGGAAATAATAAAATGCAAATAATAGCAATTGCACTTAGACTTATACACCGCTTCACAGTGCTTTCCAGCCCTCTCTAAGCGGTTTACAGAGTCGGCATATTGCCCATATTGAGCCCAGTGAGATTCGAACTGCCAAATTTCAGACAGCCGGCAGTCAGCAGAAGTAGCCTGCAGTACTGCACTCTAATCACTGTGCCACCACAGCGTATAATGTTTGTGATGAAAATCATAGCAAGGAAAGTGACATTTGTGTGGCGTGCGAGTCATGGAGTCATTGTGTGTGAATAAATTGGGTGGCTTTGTAAATTTATTTAATAAATGATATTTTGTCATCATGGAGAGAAATGTGCAAAGCTGACACATTTCAGATAGCCTTATGAATGCTTGAATTTTGTCAAGCTCTGCTAGAAAATCTGATCTTTCGAAAGAGAGCAGGTGGCAGGTCCGTGCTTAATTCCATCTTCTTCCCCCTTCCCTTCTCTTCATGGTTTGCTCCTTGTGTTAGTTAAGTCTTCTTGTTTTCCAAAAATAGCTCCAGGAAGTTAACAGCCAACTTGAAGACACACATCTCAGGTGTGTGAAGAAGACCAGAAATAGAGCCAAGATTGATAAATTCCTTTTCTTTCTTTCTTTCTTTCTTTCTTTCTTTCTTTCTTTCTTTCTTTCTTTCTTTCTTTCTTTCTTTCTTTCTTTCTTTCTTCTTTCTTTCTTTCTTTCTTTCTTTCTTTCTTTCTTTCTTTCTTTCTTTCTTTCTTTCCTTCCTTCCTTCCTTCCTTCCTTCCTTCCTTCCTTCCTTCCTTCCTTCCTTTCTTCAAAGAGTCCTAAGTATTAGCTCAGGGAAATTTACACCCCTGTGAGGAAGATTTAAGTGAGAAAATTAAAAGCCGCAGAGTTAGTGAATGTTTAACAAATGATCTTGGTCTCTTCTGACTCTACTATCCTTTTAGTATTTTGTACAGGTAGTCCTTGACTAACAATTTTTTGTTTAGTGACCATTCAAAGTTACAAGATACTGAAAAAGTGACTGCTGGGTTTTTTGCACTGTTGCAGCATTCCCATGATAAAAATTGGACATGTGGCAAAATTGGATAAGTGGCATATATTTATGATGGTTGCAGTGTCCAGTGTTATGTGATCATCTTTTGCGACCTTCTGACTATTCACTTAACTAACTTAAGTGTTCCTAACTTAACCACCACAGTGATTCACTGAACAACTGTGGCAAGAAAGGTCGTAAAACAGGGAAAAACTGTCTCACTTAGCAATGGCAATGTTGGGCTCAATTGTGGTCAGAAGTCAAGGACTACCTGTGGTAGCAGGTTTAAAAAAAGGAATGGTGGTAACACATTTTCTTGTCTGGAGTGAAAACTGAAGGGCAAAGTGGAAGAGCAGTAGCAAAGTTTTCCACTGGGTGTGAATCTGCCAAGATAAGAAACAGACTTACAATAACAACTAAATCCACAAAGGTCTGGTGGATTGATGGTTTTTTTTGCAAAGCTTTAATACAATCTTTCTAAAGTTTTTCTCCTTTTCCTTCTCCCTCTCTGCCAGTCTCTCTCTCTCTCTTTATCTCTCTCTTTATCTCTGTCTCTCTGTCCCTGTCTCTCTTTCTCTCTGTGTGTGCCTCTCTGTCTCTGTCTCTCTTTCTGTCTCTCTGTCTCCCTCTGTGTGTGTGTGTGTGTGTCTGTCTGTCTCTGTCTGTCTGTCTGTCTCTGTCTGTCTGTCTCTGTCTCTCTGTCTCCTCTCTGTCTCTCTGTCTCTCTCTGTGTGTCTCTCTGTCTCTGTCTCTCTCTGTGTGTGTCTCTCTGTCTCTGTCTCTCTTTCTGTCTCTCTGTCTCCCTCTGTGTGTGTGTGTGTGTCTGTCTGTCTCTGTCTGTCTGTCTCTGTCTCTCTGTCTCCTTCTCTCTGTCTCTCTTTCTGTCTCTCTCTCTGTGTCTCTCTGTCTCTGTCTCTCTCTCTGTGTCTCTCTCTGTCTCTCTTTGTGTCTCTCTCTGTGTCTCTCTGTGTGTGTGTGTCTCTCTCTGTCTCTCTCTCTCTCTGTCTCCCTTCCTCCGTCTGTCTGTCTGTCTGTCTGTCTGTCTCTCAATTTGCACACAGAGGCCAAAAAAAAGCTGTTTGTCTTGAAAAGAAAATCTCAGGTTTGTTTTAGGAGATTGGCAGGTTATCCCTGCAAAGAGTGTCTGTTTGCTCAGGTAGCTCAGGAATTTAGTCAACCGCACTCAGCTCTTGACACCAGAGTGGGTGCTCCGAATTGACATTTAATAAACAAAAGACAAACCAGCAGTTGCTGTAAAGTATGTCAGATATGTTATTCACCTTAATGGAGGCGAAATCCCTTCCACTGAACATGCATGAAAACGAAACTGCAGGGGGAGAAAAACAGGCAGTGACTCAGTTTTAGGCCACTCTAAATAAACTCTGGCTTTTAAAAACACATTTGAAACAGCTTCGCCGGTCAAATGCATTCAAGCATGTTTCTAGCCCACATTAATAATTAGCCATCTGAAACTGCAATAAAGCTTTCCAACTCCTTGGACACGTAAACGGTTTATTTGTTTGTTGCTAGCGGCTAGAATGCACCAGTTTTGGGTGGCTTTTTTAGGAGGTGGTGGTAAGATGTTAACAAGTTTTCCAGTTTGCATAAAACAGGGGTGGGAACCAATTTATATCTCCTTTTGGGTGCAGAGACTGAAAGCATGGCCTGACTCTGCGCTCAGATCTAACCTCTTACCTTTTTCCATTCAGCCCTCTGGATTTCTTGGTGTCTCCTGTCAAAGTACAGGTAGTCCTCAGCTTACCACAGTTCATTTAGTGACTGTTCAAAGTTGTAGCGACCCCGAAAAAAGTGAACGTATGACCATTTTTCACACTTACGACCAGAGGTGTGTATTCAGCAGGTTCTGACCAGTTCTGGAGAACCGGTAGCGGAAATTTTGAGTAGTTCAGAAAATTGGCAAATCCCACCTCTGACTAGCCCTGCCCCCATCTATTCTCTGCCTCCC